AAAACGGGCATCTTTAAAAAGCCTACTAAGCATCGTTTGGGATCCCGACACCAAAAACGCGACTGTGGCGCATCGCTAAACGTGCAAGAATACGCAGCAGAAAAGAATATTGATGTAGAAGAGAATCTTCAACCCAAGCACTCTCCAAATCAATAGAATTCCACAAGTGAAATACACGTGTATAGATTTAAGCGAGGGCCAAAACTAGAATCTTTAAACGGCTTAATAATCATCGTTTGGGATCCCGACACAAAAAACGCGAGTGTGGCGCATCGCTAAACGTGCAAGAACACCGGAGAAATAAGAAAATTAGCATGGGCGAGAATCTTCAACCCAAGCACTGTCCAAATCAATAGAATCCCACAAGTGAAATACACGTGTGTAAATTTAAGGGAGGGCTAAAACGGGCGTCTTTAAAAAGTCAAATAAGCATCGTCTCGTATCCCGTTACAAAAGACGTGAGTGTGCCACATCACTAAACGTTAAAGAACACCGGGGAAATAAGAAAATTGACACGGGCGAGAATCTTTAACCCAAGCACTCTCCAAGTCAATAGAATTCCAGAAGTGAAGTACACGTGTGTAAATTTAAGGCAGGTCTAAAACGGGCATCTTTAAAAAGCCTAATCAGCATCGTTTCGGGATTCCGACATTTATTGATATTTAGCAACCCTGCTATTTCAAACTCCTAGGGGAAGCGGAAAAAATTCGAAATAGCGGGAGCTCGAAATAGCCGATATTAAATGCCTGAAGGGAAAACCCCAAAGATATGGTTGGTGTAAATAAATAGAACTCAAAAAATAAACGTGTTTCCGGCCAGGCTCGAACCGGCGACCTTCCGCGTGTTACGCGGACGTGATAACCACTACACTACGGAAACCAACCATGAATAGCATGAAATCATGAATGTGTTTAATTCGCTCTTCTTACCATAAACAGATACATTGACGTAAGATGTGCCAGAGCTAAACGCGTTCGACGCGTTGCAGATGTATTGACCGGCGTCCGAGAGTGCCACCTTTTTTATCAGCAGCGACGCTCCATGATTCTCCACTCTGCTCGGCAGCTTGTCCAAGCCTTTCTTTGTCCACGTGACTGTAATTGGCGGGCTTCCGTGGAAATCGCACGTGATTTTTCTCCGTGCTCCCAGAAATGCCTCGATTCTATGCTTGTGAGAAAGGCTTAGTTTTATGACGTCACTCTCTAAAGATTGAGGAGATAAGATAAACGCTCTGAAAACCGAGGAGCAAAATTCACACGGAGAAGTCCAGAAGCATTCATGGTCTTTTGACATAACGCCATAAGAAGCTAACATTTGCGTTACGGCCATACGGACAAGAATTTTTCTCAAGTCGCATAGAGCCTGTCTATGGCTGATGACGTGTCTCCTTATAAGAAATTGTTACCTAGGTAACTGATTTCATCATTAGCCTCACTTTGTAACATAAAGCTACCCTTGAACGTCTGCTGGATTTTCCATGCATAAGAACAAATGTCTGCTATACCATACCTACTACTTCAAGGGTCACTTTGATTTCCTTTAACTCCTCTAGAGTGGTGGCGATACAGGCGTATTGCCCAGCATCTGACATGAGTGCATCTCTAATGAACAGGTTACCGTTTGCAAGCTGTCGAGTTCTCTTTTTATCTATTCTACCATGAATCTTCATCCAGTCTATCTTGGGCTGAGGAACTCCAGAAGCGTTACATCGTAACACGGCTGTTTTTCCCATGACAACTGTCTTGTTTTTTGGTTTCGTTATAAAAGTTACTGTACAGAGAAAAAACGCAATTTAGTATAGTATAGCCAGCGGGTCATGGCGTGGCGTGGCTGGCGTGGCGTGACTTGACGTGGCGTTACGTGACGTGGCGTGACGCGCTGCGCGCGTGGCGTGGCCTTGCTTGGCTCATTTTTGGTAAATTTTTTTATTTACCCATTTATCAAATACAAAAGCGTACGGTCATCCCTACCAGGAAACGAATCTTCTTTCAAATTTAATCGCCAATACCGCCTATTTCCTAGATGACGTTACATACTAGTTATGTAACGCTGTCTCGTGGGATATCCCATGGTATACCACGAGAGAACGTTGCATAACTGACCATAACCAGTTTATACCATGTCACAGAAAATACAGTGACCAACACATATCAATGCGACACACGCGCGGCGCACGATGGGAAGGTTGGGTGTAATATCGTCGAATATACACAGTCCTCCTGTATTCTGATTGGCTGCATTTTCTATGGTATAGTATAAAGAACTTTACTGTGTATGTAATTTGCATGATGGCGTCATTTTATTACAAGTATCAAAATTTACGTTTTCTTTCCAAGACAGCTGGTGCAATTGTCATTTGATTTAACTCCACTGTGGTGTAAAAATTCGAATAATAAGGGAGAAAGGAAATGAATATTCGTAGTCAATGTCGATATCATGAAATTAGTGTGGTATACCGACTATATTTTGAAACATTGAACAGATGAAAGAGGAAAGGAAATCCACTTAGATTCGCTTCCCAAGTTTTTAAATAGATATATCCAACTGTGCTATAAATACGACTACAATATTCTTGTAAGGGCCAGAAACAAAAGAAAAAAAATCAAGAGTGAAACGACCAAATCGCTAGGCTGGCTTTCTGCAGTTCTCTCGAGTCTAGTTCCCGAGGGTCCGGTTCCCGAGGGTTCGAGGGAAAGAGCTCGGGCTCATGTTCCCGAACAGCAGCTGATAATCGAGCCTACGGAATCACGGACATCTAAAATCAATTCATTTCATTTTAAAACTTACTTGGTGTGTAAATCTTGAATTGTTTTGATGTTGACCCCATGACATTTCTTGCCTCACATTCGTAGACACCCATGTCCTTCGTTTGCAGGTTTCTAATGACCAGAGTACCATTGCTGTAGATGGCGTACTTCGAATTGTTTCTTATGGAATGCTTGACATGTTGAGACCATACAGGACCAACATAATACCAGTAATCGACTGGAGTCGGTATGCCCGTCGCTAGGCAATTTACGAACATCGTCTGCCCTTTGACAGCGTGCAAGTGGTCCGCGGGGTGCACCAGCATCTTAGGTTTGTTACCCACTGTGACGGAGAGCAGAAAAGAAAAATTGATTTTTTTTCTTTGACAAGATACAATGGAACGATATTAGTTTCCAGTTCTCGTTTTCATGAAGACAAACAATAGACTGCAAGGCTGATACTACGTGAAAAACGTTTCGAGACACCAACATGACATGAACCGATAAAGTAGGATCGCAACAGTGGACAGTTGTTTCGCCCTTCTTGGGGCTCGCTAGCACTGTGTAGCGAAGATATATAACGCCAGCCCAACATTCTTGTCATGTTGGTGTCTCGAAACGTTTTTCACGTAGTATCAGCCTTGCAGTCTATTGTTTGTCTTCATACATTGTTTGGCTGATCAGATCTCTTGTAGATCCTGCGTTGGCAGCGTTTATCGTATGCGGTCCCTTGCAGTTTCTGGTTTCTCGTTTTCATGTTCGTATTCCCGGTATTAGACTGGAACTAGCTAATGCGGGGAGTCTTTTCAAATGCAAATGACATTTATCTCTTTGTTCCCCCGCATGTGCCTCCATTGCAAGCTAGTTTCAGTCCATTACCCAGAATACGGATATAATGGTCTATCTATTCAGATGAAATACTACCAGAAGACCAGAGTCAGTATTTTAAAATCTCTTCTTACAGCGTCGATATCTATTTTAATATACACGTCATAAGAATTTAGCCGTTGATCAAAACCATGCAGGATCAAAATATACATTCCTAACTAGAACTGCTGGAATTGTACCTCAGCTCTCGTGTACAGAGTGTTTCTTTTAATAATCAATTTGCTCCTCGACTTAGTTCTTTCTTACAAATCATCACGATTCAATTCGATTCAAGTTTTCGACATTGGAGGACAAAAACAACATTAAATTTGTCAACGTCAAAAGGGTTTTTCGTGCCGGCTTGCAAACTACGAGGTAGAATTTAAGTCTGTTATTATCGAAACAATTTTCAGATTACACTTACCCCAAATCTCGAGCTTATTTGATTTAGCTGTGCCCAGTTTGTCTATTGTTACATAACAAGTGTAATTTCCACTATCGGCAAAGCTTGTGCTGTTTATAACTAGCTTTCGGTGATCCAAGGAGATTCGCCCATTTACTGGTCTGACTGTGGCACCGTTCTTGATCCACCTTACCGTCCCTGTTTTTGAACTGCGACAGCGACAGCGCAACGACAGTTCAGTTCCCACGGGAAACTTTGTCATGTGGGTGGGACGGGTCAAAATTGTAGCCTCATCGCACATTCCTGCAGAGGAAACATTATTTAGTAAGAGAGAGTCTAACTCAGTGGATGCCTGTTTTTCTGCATGCGCCCAAATCATCTTCCATGTGATTTGACAGAAAAAATCTATACCAGGAGCATATTACCAGGTAATGAATTCATAAGTCTACACATAGTTAATAGAGGAAAATGGTTCTGAAACCTTGCAAAGTTACTTTGTTGTATGTTTTTGTTGGCTATTTTGGGGGTTGACCCCGCACAAAACGTGGCAAAATACAAAACGTGGTTATGTGTGCTCATACAACTAACCAATAGAAGCATTGCGATTATGTAACTCACGCATAGTCAATGAGCATAAAACAAAAGATGTGCAAGGTCAAAGACCTTCCAACATACATCTTAGCCTGTTTGCTTGCTTCTTTGATGATTAGGGTTGGTCTACAGAGACGGTTGCATTCTTTACCGTTTGTAGTACTAAAGACGTCTAGCTTTAGCTCAGTTGTTGAAATATTAGCCATTTAATTTTGCCTTTCTCCCGTAGTACCAGCTTTGCTTTGCTTTATAAGCTTGGTTTCATTCACACTTCTGGTACGAGCATTTGCAAGAGATCCGGCATCATATATGCCAAGCACTTCAACCTCTTAGTTGTCATGTGGACCTCTGCGTCTAAACATTTTTCACATTCTCTGATTGGCTGCTTCTTGCGCGTGAAAATTCAAACTCGAGCTTCAACCAATCACACTACTCAGAGACTGCACGGACCTTTGCAGTGTGATGTCATCACTATGGAATCTAGGACCTCACTAGTGGACTGGACTGGAGAATTCAGAGACAGGACTTGGACCTCGCTCGATGAGCGGATTAAGGGTAGAGATTGTAAGTAAGCTGTGCGGCTTCTGTGTTGGTAGAAGCCCGGGTTACGTAATTAGAAGAATGTGACCATGGCACTTGCAAAGCTTTTAGCAGTATAATGTTTCAATGATCGAAAAGAAGGTTAAATCAATACAAATCGATCTTAAGAGGGCATCACAGTGTTAACCGCTATAAAATCACTACAAGCGGCATGTTTAAAAACACATGAAGTGGATATCGCTGATCTCTAATTTAGAATTTTACAAAAAGCAATTTGCAGCTAATTTGTGCTCTGAAGGTAAAAAAGACAAATCAAATTTTTATCTTTGGCTTAATTCTAAGTACACGCATACAAGTTTTGGCATTCGATCGACAGTCGCCTTCGGGAGAGGGTTAACTGAAAGACCTGACCTGAAAGAGCGTGGAAGTTGTTAGAACCTCTTGGCTCTGGAGAAGCTTTGACTTCGTATTCAAAGTACACAAGACGATAATGTTAAAACATTACCGGACTTGTGTGTGCGCGAACTTGATTTTGATCAAAATGATCACAATTTAACCCAGGCGAAGCGCATGGTTGCAGAACCTCGCCACTAATTTCAGCCAAGGCTGCGGGTTCCTCAATCTTAAGCCTCCTGAAAAACAGTTCGGAATTACAAAATGACTTGCAGCACGTTTATGACTTCACTTGATCTTATCTCCTGATCTGGTCTTTTTCATCCGACAAGTTGATTAATTTGGTTTCCCTTTACAAATCATTCCGCGCTTATGATCGATGACACCGTCTGTATAATAACCAGTCTTGTTTAAAAAAAAAATTGTGTAGAAGTGATTTTTGAATGCTTTAAGTTCAAAACCAGACCAGGCTGCTATGAACTGGTAGCTTGTTTTTAGAAACATGGCCGGATTCCAAACGAAGGGAAGAATACTTTGTAAACAGGAAATTCACAGTCTGGTTATGAGATTTGGAGTGATATAAGTCTTCTCCAGAAGTTGTTATCGGCGAAAGACAATTTATCTTATTCCGCTTAGGTTGAAGAAAGTTATATTACGAGGATTAAAATAAATCATTTAATCGCATAGTTATCAGTCCAATTCAAAAAATAAAAACTTCTTGCTTGGTGCTTTATTGCTGAATAGTCAGATATGTTTCTCTGGAAAAACAGTTTGTTTCGTCATAAGGTTTATTTTTTTCTTCATGTTTTGCATAATGAGATCAGGTTTCCACTGAGTCTTAGTGGTCTAAGCCCAGGATTCAAAATCAAGGGACGACAACAGTTTCAGGCATCAAAGCTTTAGCATTTTTGTGATGTGGTCCGGGATTGCTAAAACGAACAAGTTCCCCAATCGCTTTTTCTCTCGACACAGGTTTCACTTTTCAAAACAATGCAATCAATCGCGTATTCTTCCGTCAACTTCCGTCGCATTAAATCTTTAAACTCACTAAATAGTCCATTGTGCTAGTCTGCTTTATTGAAATTACTTAAAGGATCTTAAAGAAGATCACTACAGAGAAAGAAAAGCTGCGATCGTGTTGCCACTTTCCCATGTGAAACTGACCTCAAGTTGCAAGGTCAAAAAACATGAACTTTCTGAAATACATGATTTCATTGCTTGGTCGCAAACAAATAGGTTAAAGTTAATTTCTCCACTTTTCTTTGTTAATTTAGTCTGTCAATTCCTTCTGTTTGGAACTAAACAAAATTAAGTAGAGTAGATTGTATGGAACAGTTCTAAATCTCAAACATCAACGCTAATGATTTGACATTTTATTGCTGTCCATACTTAAGATAACTTCTAACCAATGACAAATTTCAATAACTATCTTATTGAAATTTGTGAAGTTGCACTTGGTGACCCCTCTCTAACTTAAGGTTACTTCAAACCTTCGCGGGAGTCCTCCAGAAATCACAATCAAAAAAGTAAATTAAAAAAAAAAAAGAAAACAGTACATTTAGAGGGAAAAGCAAGCTACACTATCGAAAGTTGAGGTACTCTTACCAATTCAGATCGAATTAGTGATTGATTTGTGTTGTTTTTGTTGTTGAGGAAGGAGGGAAAACTCGCGTACAATGAGAAAAAAAAAACACAGCAGCACGTTTGACTCCAAACCCAGCCGGAATCAAAGCTGACTGGAGTAACATTCTTATACTACAATGAGATAATGCAACTCAGTGTATTTTCGGTGGCTCTTGAAATTAATTTATCAAATCAATCTTAGCATTATTATTTTTAGCTCACAACGGAAAACATGATGTTTTACAACACCTCAGCGGCTATCTTGGCAGGCTCAAAGCATGCAAAATCAATTTTTGTCAGTCGCCGACTTGGAATGTTTTCCTTTTTAAACATACTTAAGTCTAGTTTTTTGTTTTGTTTTGTTTTGTTTTGTTTTTTTATATGTGTGTGTGTGTGTGTGTTTCTTTTTTTTAAGTCTGTAGCGGAAACTACGTCTTTTCTTCTTATTGTTCACGTTAATTGCTTCAATTGGTCTAAAGTCATCTTTCGTGACTTTATGAAATACTACAGGTGAAAAAAACAGCTTCCGGTGACGGCTAGGTTTGAAGACGACACAAACAAAACATAAAGATAAGTATCTAACATTTCACCTGTGTGAGGGTAGACATCTAAATCATTATTGTATTTTGTTGTTTTGTCTGTAAACTACAGATCTTCAAGTTGTTTAAAAGACTTATTTGAATAACGAAGGGCTTAAATTTAGTGAACGTAATGTTTCCAAGGCTCTAACAACAGTTACATTCGAAAACGTGCGACTAATGAGGTCGAAGATGATATTTTGATATTAACTCTACCAAAAACTGCTGTAAATATTTGACCAACATATTTTCTAGTTATATAGCATGCATGGCCTCGAACTCCAATTTTCGGCAAATTTCTAATCAAAACATTCGGAAAATTTATTTTAGCAATATTTTATTATCTCAAACAACATAAGCCAATTAACGGCTGTCGTGCAGTACTACAGATAGCAAACTTATTTCCTGAGATTGCCGTTAGTTTATAACCCGAACAACTGATTAGTAGATCAGTACACCAAGACGATATCAACTGATATTTTTCATTACCTATCAAAGTCTTCATTAAAAATTCGCGTTAGAGTAAACTGCTTTATTTTCACAATTTTCGACACGAAGTACACTAATCCAGTTATTTACATGCCTTTGTATTATTCTGCGCTATTCGCTAGTTATTCAAATCGGATATCGCGGAAATCCGGATTTGCCCAAAACTATAAAATGGCTCCTTGTCTCTAGCTTAGAGTTTAAAAAAAATGGAATCTTATGGATTTTAAATCCGTTTTCTCGTAATAAAAGCCAGCATTGCAATTAACGAATTAGCGTTAATTGCCAATTACCAGCGATGTGTACTCTTGGGATAAAAAGCCGTAATTTTCGAACTCATCAAGCTAAAAAACCAAGCTTAGTCTTCTTGTTGTTGACGCGCGCGAAAAAGTGGAAGGGATATGCGGACCTTGATTAAGGCAAAAAAAAAACTTTCCTTAGCAAAGACCAAGAATCTTACCTTCAACTGTTAGTCTCGCGAAGCGACTTTTTCGAACAATTCTCCCTTTCTTCGACCCCCGTCTTGTTGAAGCAATGCATCTGTATATTCCATTATCATCCAATTCTGTTTTTGATATTCTCAAGGAACCGTCATCTCTTATTGTAATTCTCGGCTCCTTGTCAGTCTGGATAGTGTTATTATTGTGCTTCCATTCGTAAGTTATCTTTTTATTCGATTGCGCTGAACACTTTAATGTCACAGGGATACCAGCTTGGACTGTTTGCGAAGATGGTTGCGTAATCAATGCTAAAAATGATTGTGATTCCGTGAGGGAAGACACTGAAAGACAAATAGAGAAAAATAAGAAACCGTTATCTAGTCAAGTAATGTTACATTAATTCTGATGATATAATTACCACCGTCGGCAGAACCCAAGAAATGTTCACTCAACTTAGACCTTTCCTCAAAGATCACGGCTTAAAATCACCTAAATATGTTTCGGGTAATTACCAAAAAAATCTCCTAAATATCAAAACAAAAAAAAATTAAATATCTCGAAAAATTCTCTAGATATCTCTTATTTTTGTCGTAAAAATACACCTATTTTGAACCACTTAGAGCAACATTTACTTGCAGTACATGCAGTAGGATTTGAGGAAGAAGATTAAGGGACATCGATGTTACCAAAATCCGCCTTTTTAAAAAATTGCTGCTTTAGCGCTTTTAGCGATATGGAATACAATCTTCGGGTGGGAACTCGCTGAACTGGACTGTGCCTGGCATAGGACAGAGTATTATATCAAGAAAAAAACGAGAAAAACACAGGGTTAATCCAAAAAGAGCAATGAACATTTCTAAATATCCGCTAACAGCTCTTCATAGGAGCCCGGTAAACGGGCTGGCTCGGTTACGAATTTTGTTGTCTGTTCATATGCGAAATTTTGGCCGGCGAGCACGAAACAGACGAATGAGCGAAGCGAACGAGGCGGTACACTGGGAGCCTGTTCGCAGGCTAGGGAAATTTCAGCCCGGTCGACCGGGAGGAAATTCAAGAAACAAAACCAAAATGGTGGAACATAAACTTGTATCGTTCGTGACTGTCGCAGCTTTGTTGACCCTTGTAACTTTACTTTTCGCATATTCCTAAAGTGAAAATACATACAAGACAAAAATTCTGCCATTTTGGCCGCTATGTTGCGAAAGCGAAGCTATTTTGTCGAAATAAAACTGTCGTCCGGGTTACCCGGGCTAGAGTGTTCAAATGGGAAAATTTTCATCCTGGCTGCCGAGATTTCCGTCGCAAAAACCGATATCTCGGTAACCTGTTCTCATGTGAACACATCGAAGTTTTTGCAATGAAAGAGTGACGAGGCGAGATCTCGGAAACCGAACTAGAGTCAACCCGGTTGACCGGGCTCATACTGGAAGAGGCCCTTCTCTTAACTTTGTCCGTAGGCCCTTTCGACTTCTTCATGGGTTGTTTTCGTGTATTAATCATAATTTACATTACATTGACGCTTATTCCAATCACATAATTGAACACTCGTGTCTTGCTAATCTTGTTTGGGCATGTTGATTCGTAGAATTCAGGCGATGAATTGTACACGCTCAAAATGAGCTCTTAAACCGCAGCGATACTCAACTTCTCACAAGCGCTTTGCTAATTCGCCTTTTTCAGACGAACGACTGAAAAAATGATTTACAATACAGGATCCGAACGTTTCTCCATGTATGAAATGTTCGCTGTCCGATAGGTGTTTCTTTCAATGGTCGCGTGATTCGAGAAACAAAGTGATCATTTATAAGAACGGAAATTAAACCGGGGCGATTAAACGACTTACTTTCAACAACTTCTTAAAAACAATGATGCCTAAAGAGCTGTAGAGAACCGAAAGCGTCAATAATCCCAGGAAAGCAATCTTGCAAATTGTCATCGTTCATAGATTTGAGTGAGTTAATGCTATGCCGTGTAAAATTAAGATTTCCTTGACACGAAAGTTGTCAAGCCACAGGTATTCCAAACGTGACGATGGTGGTTAAAGGCCACACGAAACGTGCCAGAATGTTAAAGGGATAATCGCTTGCAACATACTAAGTTAACTACCATTGAGTTGGTTTTTCTCTGCCGTAAAACGCCACATTTTTAGTTTATTTTGATAATCGTAATAGCTTTGTGAACATTATGACTGAACTTGTGTGTTTACGTTTACTTTACCGATCTATCCTTTTTATGACAAGACTGAAACTTTCTGACATTTTGAGCCACATTTTGAGATTTCCTTCCTTTTGAAAACTTTTTACACATTAACACACAATGTTCAATGAAAAATTGCCTCTAACTACCATCTTCTTTTATCAGAATGGTTCCGGGTACGCCAGAATCTTTGCGCCCGACTTAATATTATTGGCAACTGCTTCTTGCGACGACGGAAATTTGTTTCTGAAGTCTGAATACTTCTGTTTCAGTTTCAATAATGTTTCCTGGTTGAGCCAGTTCTATGTGCAGCTTTGGACTGAATGCGTTTTTCAGTACCTTGCTTATTGGCTCGTTTGTTTTCAATACGGCTTTTTATGTCGGCAAGAAATGCTTTTGTTACTTACCTAACAAGACTAACGCCAGCCAGAAAGACAAATGTGATGTTTTAGAGCTGTACAAAAACGAATCCATCAAATATCAGGCTCCAAAACGGTTCGGTGAATCTGCGGAGTTTCAGAAAAGGTTCTTCGTCAAAAATTCTCAAATGTCTCCTAATCGAGTTGCTTGAGCCACTGCAATGGTTTATAACATGTTTCGTGCATCGGCGAAATATTAGTCGTATAAGTTTGTGATTCTGCCAATAGAAAAGAAAACAACTTGCTAAGAGGCTTAGCTGAGGAACCTGAGCTAATTGAAAGGGTGTTTGACCGCCAAAAATGATGAATATACACATACTGACATTAGCACGAAAAACATTTAGTTATCTTGACACCTGAGATTTTAGTGTCACTTAAAATCTCGTCTAAGACCTAAAATTTTCTCCCACCTAGTTAAGGTGCGAAGAGACGATTAAATTTTATGATAGACAAAATATTTTGACATTTTGGTAAAATGCCTGTAATCAGTCTACCAAAGAAATTGCAGCCGAATCTCATTTAGCTATTTACGTGTGAAACCAATTATATACGCAAGTACTAGGTCGCTTGAACTCAGTCGGTTTGCAAAATTACAAGAAATATGGGGTTTTCAAGCCGACCACTTTAATCTCGGTCCAACTAAATTAGAAATTTCAAGTTACGAAACGTAATGCGCGTTGCTATGACTCTGGAAAAGGTTGAGAACGGAAAGATATTTTATCTTATAATGAAAACGTTAAAATAACTGATTTTGACTGACAGGTATGTACAAGCCTCTTATTTACTTGCTGGGCCGGTAGTGTGGTGCGCGGTACAGGAAGAGATACGATTTACGGGGTGGATTACTGCGGGTAATCCGGCCCCCCTGGGGTATCTCTTCCTGTTACGCTGTGTGCTGTCACTGATTGCTAATTCTGGGCTAATTTAGGCTCATCTGTGAAACGATGCGCGCGGGGGAAAGGGTACTCCTTTATACGGGCTGTTGAGCTATAGAGGTATAGGGCTATAGAGGTATGTCGGCCCCGAAGGGTAAAGGTTGTTTAGCCGTTTTGGTCATAAATAGGGCACCGATTTTGGCCATTTTGATCTGAAAAAGGGTATGGTTCTTACACCCTAGTCTTGAATTCGGTATGTTTTTTTTTTTTTTTTTTCAGAAAAAGCTAGTTTTTCTAACACCGGTCTGAACTAGGTTACTAATTATAAGATATGTCTGCCAGTGTCATGATCACGTCATAAATAATTAAGTAATCAAATTTTTGGTCAGGTCATAAATAGGGTAGGAAAAATTACAGATTTTGGTCTAAATTAGGGCAAGGGTTTTGTGAAGTGGGCCGCACACCCCTACCCAACTTTTCTGGGAGTTAACCATCCCCCGGGGTTGAACCCATGATAAATTCTCCTTTTTTCATAGAAGGTCGATTTGCACATTAAGGCAATATTTAAAATTTACACAGAGAGTGTACATAATGTACATGTAGCAGTATANCCCAGCGTTTGTCTCAGCTGTAGAAGGACTAATGAGAGAAAACTGGTAGCGTGACTCAGTTCTGAACAAATTACACGAAATCTATTAACTCTGACTTCGATCGTAGTACATTTAACCAAAATGCATGGACAAACATAATTTAGAAGTCTTCATAGTGGTTTACAAACATCCTGTTGCTGACATAGATTTATAAAAGCCATAAATAAAGCGATTTTTTTTTCTGCGGTCTGAAATCTAATTTGTCAAACAGGTCTGACTGTAATCCACCTAATTCTCTACACGAGCCATCGACTTCGTTCTCCGCAATCATTTTTAGCAATTCTCAGTAACGAATGTGGCTATTTCCTTGTATAAGGACTACTTAAAAAGAAAAAGATGAAAACAAATCAAAAAGAAAACAGACCTAATATGCTAGTCGTTTTTCTCATTTCTCATGTCGCTGAGGACTTGCAAACCTACATACAGTCTAGTGAGGTGAACATTTTCACCTCAATACACTGTCGTAAAGTACGGTGTTAAAACTAAATGAAACTTCATTATCCAAATATATTAGCTGCCGTTGCCTTTCCGAAAATAGTAACTTATTTCCTCCTCTTGCATGTCCTGAAATAACATTCATCTCTGGCAAAGCAAGAGGGATTATTCAGTCCCATATCACGAAAAAGCTCGAGGGGACATTTCACTGAGGAAACTCTAGTGTTTCATAACGCTTTAATCCGAATAGCTGAGACGATTATCAACCGTCCGACACAGATATTCCGTTCTGGTACTCAGCTATGTTTTCTCGGAAGCCCCATGATGATGACAAATGACAATCTTAAATCTTTGCCGATTGTTTACATAATGTCTGTTTTAGAATCGTGAGAGTATTTTGAGAAAGCAAAAAAGAACAGGGGAACTATATATTGTAGTTCTGTGCTCTAACCACGCAACCCAGAAAGGTTGTTTTTCGTCCACACTACGCCGCAGAAGTTTAACAACGCAACAATCATCGGTCATTTCGGATTTATTTTTGAGGAAAACTCGAGCAGGGAAATCACATGATTCATCGTTTTCCAAAAGCTTCGTTTTCAAAATGTTTTCCGTCCGCACGAAAACAAAAAAGTCGGCGTTTTCAAATACCACCGGTTTAAGAATGATTTCCAGTCCGTACTGCCCACTCTCTAGAGTTTGTTTACGTTTTCTGTATTGTTTCATGTACGACATCACAAAACGTGGACATTTTGCAACTACTTACATGAATTAAATTCATGCTTATGCTTATGTCGAGCGCGTTACTAGGGAAAACTGCTCTAGACAAATAAGTGGTTCGTTCTTCTTATGTTTGTGCTTATGCTTATGTTTATGTCGGTGCTGTTTTCACTTGTGCTTATGCTTATGCTTGTCCTCTAGTGTGTTTCGTTCTTTGTCATATCACTTGATGAAACAACTTCGCAGCTGTGAAAATCAATGAAGCCGTTGGAAAAAGAATTTGAACGACCTCAAAGATAAGGTATGTGGTTTATAACGAATAACATCGATTCGCATTCCATCGAGGGAGATTTTTTATGTTTATAAACGTTAGGGTGCTGATTCTGCGCAGTACGGACTGGAAATCGTCTTTAAAGAGCGTTTTGGAAAAGCTCCGTTTTTGTGACAAATTAGCGTGGACAGGCCTTTCGCTTAGCTGCATACGTTGTCAGGAGTAACAATATTCACAGTCCTTTCATGCCTCGATGGTAAAATGGAGTTTATCACTCTTAAAAAGGATTTTAAGGACCGGCTGGGTTTGGTACATACTTAACCTTGTTCTAGTTAAGTGCTCATTCCAGTTGTCCGCGGGAAAAAGGTGGCGATCCACATTTTACCACAATACCATGCGAACCTTATAATACCCATTACGCGCAAGGAAAGCCATTTTCTTTTTCTGCAAATTTGTGCCTTTGCTAAGGACATCGTGTAGGCTAGGTTTGAAGATATTGGAATTTTTCTGTACGATTTTATGGTCGTTGTTAAAATTTCCGTGCGCTAAGAGTTATCGGTAATTGTACCAGTTACCATCTTTTTTTCCTATGTAGGATTTTCAGTGAGGTTCCGCTGTCGAGTTAAATGCTAATTTAAATTCTAAGGGTTTCAAGCCATTCATGTGAGGCCTTACAAGAGTTGCCACCCGACCCATGAGGGTTGCAGACTTCTTCTTCATACTTTCTCATTCCTTTTGAACAGCGCATTTGAAATACAATACAACATAGAGCTTTATTAATGTGTCAATCTACTCGCTGGTTACAGGGAGCCTAGTCTTTGGGGATAACTTACTTATTTTAAAAGACTTAATGCATACTCATTCATATATAATTAAAATTGAATAAATAGATGAACTGAACTTTCGCTGAACAATATTTACAAAATTTAGTTGAAATGTTTATTACAATAGCTTAATACTTTAATCTAAGAATAATCAAAAGATTTATAAAAGCATCTTATGCTTTCAGGGTCTGCCAGTAGAGGAAGTCGGGCCTCAAACGTGGCAAAGGTGGTAAATTATGCTTTATTCTCAGCTCTTAAACTAGCCAGTTCCTTATTCCTCTTAAATGCTGACAAGAGAAAATGAGGGGACAGAGAGGGAGGCTCCCAGTTCAGGCCTTGGCATATGTCAATTCCGTATAAAACTAAAAATAACTTTAGTGGAATCGACATATACCAGCCAACGCCCTTAATGTCCCTCGCTGTCCCCTCATTTTCTCTCGATGTTGATAACCAAGTTATAACCTTGTTCCTGTTCGATATAATTTTGACCACATTAGTGGTCCTAAATATATAGTGGAAAGTTTATCGTGTCTAGCGGTATTAAATCTATACCTAAAAAAGTCTGAGTCTCTCGAGGCCTCTTCATATGAGCCTGGTAACCGGGCTGGCTCGGAATATTTCAGCTCAGTCGAGCGGGATGAAACTTCAAAAAACAAAACCAAAATGGTGGAACATAAACTTGTTCCGTTCGCGACTATCGTAGCTTTGTGAACTCTTGTAACTTTAATTATAAAGCTAATTTCCATACTTCTAAAGAGGAAACACATACTGGGCAAAAATTACGCCATTTTGGCCGCTATGTTACGAAAGCGAAGAGAAGGTTCGTCCCGGTCTCCCAGGCTGGAGCACGGGTTCATATGGAAAAATTTCCTTCCCGGTTACCGAGAACTGAAATCAATTTGTAACTGGACGGTGACTCACTAACAAGATTAACAAAATGTTTGTTGGTAAATAACTTAAACTTAACTTTGTTCATAATAATATCCTTGAGTTTTCGGGAAATCTTACCGTCTTAATATTGTTTTCAACGCCTGGCGATAATTTCTATGTCGATAAAAGTAGATAAATGGATTCACTGCAGAGCTAGAAAGTGCAAGTGTTACAAACCAATATTCCAAAACTACAGAACGTTTTAACAGTCTTACTACTATAAACGGCGTCCAACTGAAAACAAACAAAAATATAACTAACGCGGTCGTTTTGGCAACCTGTTTGTTTCTGTGTCGCATACGGCCACAACTGGAGCCACCATCGTGGTTTTGGTGCAAGTCAGTTATTCTGGACGACATCTTTCGTACATAAAAGATGGTGAAGACACCACATGTTAATATTATGGCAAAACAAAACAGGAGAGCGCAAGCAGGAACATACCATAGGTATGGACTGTGCGGGTAAATTTCTAGTAAAATTGGCAACACCGGAGAGTCGATCCATATTTTAAGAAGGACCAGCTTTAATTTCGTGAAGGTCGCGAATGTCCTGTGCCTGAGAGGGTTACAGATGGCAAAGCATCGATCGATACTCAGGAAAGTTAGAGTCACAAGCGAAGCGCCCACAGAAATGTGCATTATTACTACGGCAACACGAAATGCAATAGAAACTTCGCATGGCGTATGTTCCGCCTGACCAAGAGTAAATGGTACATTCGTGAAGGCCGTCGTTAAAAGGTCGGCTATCGCAAGGTTGGAAATTAAAATACCGCAGATAGTCCTTAAATTTGGCGTTCGCCAAATCACAAGAATAACCAGAACGTTACCTAGCGATCCAAAAAGCGCCAAAGCAATGTTAACCACACTGCCAGCAATTTTGTCCACTGCACCGATATTTTCGCATTGGGACATATTGATATCGGTTGTGTTGAACCACAGAGAAAAACCATTGCTTGTTGAGTTGCTCTCCAAGCTTTGCGTTGTAGCGTAATTTTTCATTGCTCCTTTTGTCTTGGCAGTTCAGTAGATTCTCGTTGTCAATTCTGCAGTTAAAACGCACTGTTTTCAATCGTTCTTATGATCGATTTAGAAACTCTACGCCCTAGGGTGACGTGTTTCTGCCGTAAAAAACAGACCTCTATTTCACACGTGATCCCAGTCTCTCGACACAGTCAACGTTTTATTCAAACGACCAGCTCTTCTGATACACCAGTGCTGAATAGTTCCAAATAAACAGGGACTAATTAAGAGTTTTTTTCTCCCGAACGACGATCAAACTAAGCTTTCATCTGTTTCTAGAGCAGGTGTGAAGGAAGTTGTGTTTGGATTCTGTTCTATCTGATCCCACAATACGACCTTGGAAGCAGGTAAATTCCATCGACCAATTTTCTCCTTGATAACCGAACCTTCGTGTACCAATGGAATAATTCAATTTTCAGTACAGATCAGATTATAATAACATAAGAGAGTCATAAGACATTCTGCAATTAATTTCAAGTTTGTCACCGTCACGATGTCATTTTGTTTGTATTGTAGCTCCCAAATGTCTGGCCTGCCTACTAAAGACTGACATGTATTGAGATCCGTTTCCAACACAACTACTTTGTTTAGTTATCAACCATTTGGCGGGAAAGTTGCAGCTGCCATGAAAATAGCCATATGCATAGGCGATAAATTTGTTATCCAGTGGTCATTTTAAAAACCACGAAAACAACATGTCTGTTTTTTAAATGAGTGTTAAAGGTACTCAAAACCTTACAGCCATGCAGTCACCCTTTATTCTTTCTTTCTTTTTTTTTTAATCTCCATTGATCCCTTTTATTTCATGGAAACGAAGAGCAATTTTAGAAATTTTAGTAAATATTACGTGCAGGTAAATTGGAAATAGGTTCTGTCATCTTGCATCAAACTGTTTGAAGTACATAAGCTACTGCCGAACTCAAATGAATTTGGCAGTGGAATGACAAAAGACAGCAGTGGTTTCAAACGTCGAATTTAATTCAGTCGCTCCAAAGATCGGATGACGTTTGCTTTGCTGAAGACCATTTTAAATGCTGAAAAAAGCAACGACAGCTGATGCAGCAGGCCATGAACTCAGTTCGGCATGGCAAGAGCACGCCTTTTGAAGCCAAGTCGCACAACAGCCGTTCGGCATGGCAAGGCCTGCCGTGCGAAGTAGTCGTGGCGAACTTAATTCAGCCTGCCGAACTGAGTGGTTTCAAACGTCATGTTACTGCCGTGCTTAAGTCGAATTTAATTCTTGAATTTAGTTCGGCACGGCAGTAGCGCGATGTTTAGGCTAAACATAACTTCCAGTTTCCATATCTCCAATGCAAAGGTAATGATATGTTCAAAAATACTTTGAAAACAGTCCTAAGAAAATACGCGCGCTGATTGGTTAAAAATCGTGTTTTAACTCGATGGAAACACAGAACTAGCACGAGCTGTTGACGTAATGATGGCGCGAGCAAAGAGAATTTACCCTTTGATGATCAAAGTAAACAAGCTGTTTTCTTCTCCTCGTCGCGGTGTTTTTTAAAAGAAATAGGAAACATGTTCTCCGTATTTCTATCGAGTTATAGAAACACTCGTGAAAGTTTGGGAGAACTCGAAAAAGCTGTGGAAACACTCGCCTGCGGCTCGCGTTCCCACAGCATTTCTCGTTCTCCCGAACTTCCACTCGTGTTTTTATAACTCGATAGAAACACGGTACATGTTTTCTATTTCTTAAATAATGACTATTCTCGAATTTGATTGGTGATGATAAGCGACATCTGAGCATGTGTCGAGTTCAACTTATACCTGTGCTTATACAAAATTAAAGAACGAACTAGACTCCACCGCACATAAGAAATCTGATGCACTCTGACTCCACAGAGTTCATTTCCATTATTAAGGGTGGCGAATGCTCCTTCAAAAACCGTAAGTCTCGCAAAATTTTCGTCAAATTTCAGGGGTCTCCCAGTCTCGATTAAAAGACAGGTTTGTGAGCGTATTACAGCCTCGATTTTTCCAATATTCTCGGAGTCTCAAGTTTTTGCAAGACTAAGAAAGTCTCGAAGCCCGATTCCTTTGTTTGTTTTCATAACTGACGTCTGAACGTTTCGCACTCACAGTTTTAACACTTGGACGTCTTCGGTCTCGCAATTTAAAAAGTCACAAATGTCTCGGGCGTTCTCTATTTTCCTTTTCTTTTTCACTTTGATTTTTTTTTATTCCCGAAAAACTGAATTAACAAGCTGATGGTTTCATGAGCATAACGGTTTCGATATAGGTGTTAAACGGATACTATAAAATCACATAACGAATATCTAAAAGAGTTTTCAATATTTGATTCAAAATCTCACCGTAACTACGCCTATTAGCATCTACACATCTAGAAGTTTTATGTAACAATTTACCGCCAAATTGCCGGATAAACAGTCTACCCTTAACATTTGCTTGAGCAACAAACGAAATAATTTAGTATAAGCTAGGAACGATCGGACAAGAAATCAGGCTACCTGCGTTTTCTGCTTAACACTTGCACACTATGATCTACTTTGGTCCCAGTCCCCGGCATCTTTGTATTCCCTCCGTGATTATGTATATCTTCAAGAGTTCGGCCATTAATGTTATGATTCCTGCATTTCTCTGTTTTGACAAAAAAGAAGACGAAAGAAAAATGAAAAACAAGAAACTGGTCTGTTTCTTGTCACTTTCGTTATATATAAATGTTTACAAATATTTGTTTTAGCAGTTTGGTTTAATATAGCTCGCGTGGTTCGGCTTCTGGTTTTTAAAATAAAACGTTCTAAAAAGCCCCGTTTACAAGACGGTAAATTATGATATTCAACTCGCCGTTTTTAACGCCCTTGAGAGTTTATTAGACTTCCCTTGGTAAGAGTTCCCCGTTACCGACAAAATTAAAGCTATTTTTTAACCAGCCTTTTTTTGTTTTTCATATGCTGGTGGTCTATTTAATTCATCGAGCAAGCTTCCTTAATAATTTAATGAAAGCATATATAAATCTTTTGTGTACTAGTTCACTTTAATGCCTTAACTGTTTTGAAAACAGAAAAGAAAGCACAAATACAATTTCATACTATATAATGGCTTTCCTTGGACCAGTCACCTAGCCACAAAGAAACGGTGTTACGGAAAAAGACAACAAGGGTTCTTAATTAATATAACCCCTTCTCGCAGGTAAGTCGTTCATACATTTTGAAGAGCGCTTCTTTCAATTGCGGTTTTAGAGCGCATTGTAATTCATTGTCGAAGAAAACAATTTAATATTGTCTTAAGGGACCCTAGACAGCCTGTGCCATTTTCGATGCCATCGAAATTATCGATAATGCATGCAATATGAATCGAAGTCGTAGTGCTTTACTGTAAGTTGTGTTCCTGAAAGTATGTTTAATTTTCTTTACTGAGTAGTTTCACAATGATTTCCCTCGTTTCGACACGCTCCGAATAAAATAAAATAGCCAAGCTCTCGCATGTAAACAAAAACAAAAGTGTGGCTGACTATTTTCTCTTAATCTAGTATCAACAAATGAGCTTAGTTTTTCACAGTATATTACCTGAGTCGGCCTATAATGTATGATCGGTTGTGCTCAGTAATCTTACGTTCAAGAACTAGCAAGGTGTATTAAGAGAGAATCAAATTATGCCTGGCTCTCACAACTACAATTATCTTGATTAATGGTATTACTGTTAAATGTTCAGTCAGCCATAGGAGAAAACACGTAAATGAAGTCTTTCATGTCATTTCATATTTCATTTCAATACCAAACTCGATATAAGCAAGATAAAATAAAATTGCTTAAGGATTTAATATGTATCTGTTAATACTACTAATGAGGTATCAGAACATTACCTTATCGATTAATTGTTATATTGTCCACGCCTGTCTAATTAAGATTGTGTCGATATTGGTTGGGAGGTTTTGGACTTTGATCAGAGGGGTGATCTAGGGGTCAGGCTTATATTTTTGACGATGGGGCACGGGTGGGGAAGTTTGGGAAGTTTGAGAAAACAAAACAAAA